CTGTGTGCAAAGATAATTTTAAAAATAAATAAATAAATAAAGTTGTGTATACCACTATTTGATTAAATGTTATCCAAAGCAACTTGCAGCACATTAATACCACCCCCAATGCTGAGGCCCTTTGTTCCTTTGGTCATAGTGTCAACTTTCTTCTTCCAGTGGCTGTCATAGGGCAATTGACACAGTTCCGTTGTGGCAGAGAGCGGAAGAAGCAGGCTTCCTACATCTACTCATTCCCTCGCCTTTGTCTGAGACTAGACCAGACTTCCTCGTTCTGTGGCAATTTTCTTAAGAGAGCAAGGGGGAGGCACAGCCTTCCAGTGGCCCATAGTCCTCTGAGTCAATGGCAGGGGGTAGAGTAGGGGGAGGAAAGTTCTGTAGCCCTCCAGATGCTGTTGGACTCTGAGCTCCCATCAGCTGCAGCGAGCCTGCATGGCTAATGGTGAGAGATTAAAGAAGCTGGAGTCCAAGAACCTCTGCAGAGCCATAGGTTGCCCATCACAGGGGTTAGGGTGCCCTTCCTTTTACTTCTGCAGCCACAGGGCAACTGGCTTAATATTGAGTTTGTTTGTTGAAAATCACAGCCAAGCATCAAATATGTTTTTACAAGTGACTGCAGCAAGCCTGCTGCCCACATACCTCTTGTGACATTCATAGTACTGCTGTTGAACAAGTTGTGGCAGATTTCCTCTTGCTTCCTTGTGTCTCCTGCCCTGCCCTTTTCTTTTCATGGACTTTGCCCCGGGTGAATGTCATGCTAGTTTTGAGACGATGGCTATATCTCAATGTGATTTAACAAGATTTTATTTTGAATTTAATGTAAGCTAGAAAATCTATGAAGTAGACCTATCTTCTCACACATCTAAACATTTTATTTTAGTGATCCTCCCAATGCCAAACCTGTTTACTTTATAAGACTTGCACATTCCCATATGTAACCATATTTTTGAAAGTTTAGTTTAATTTATTGATTCAGACACACACCTTTTTGTACATACTTATAATAGATAAGATAAAGCGTCCATGCATGCTGCTAAGCCAAACTATGTCTTAGCATGAATGACAAAAGGTGTGGCCACGCAGAGACAGGATTGCAACCACTTTGTTACTCCCCAGTTGTTTTGGTGGTGCACTAAGTTGTGGTCTGCTGTAATGTATTGCTTGAACCCAAGCTTGTGGTTTAGCTTTCCAGGCAAACCGTGATTAGTAAACCATAGGTAAAGGTAAAGGTACCCCTGCCCGTACGGGCTAGTCTTGCCAGACTCTAGGGTTGTGCGCCCATCTCACTCTATAGGCCGTGGGCCAGCGCTGTCCGGAGACACTTCCGGGTCACGTGGCCAGCGTGACATCGCTGCTCTGGCGAGCCAGAGCCGCACACGGAAACGCCGTTTACCTTCCCGCTAGTAAGCGGTCCCTATTTATCTACTTGCACCCGGGGTGCTTTCGAACTGCTAGGTTGGCAGGCGCTGGGACCGAACGACGGGAGCGCACCCCGCCGCGGGGATTCGAACCGCCGACCTTTCGATCGGCAAGCCCTAGGCGCTGAGGCTTTTACCCACAGCGCCACCCGCGTCCCGCTAGTAAACCATAGGAAAGCCTTGGTTACAACTCCTGGTTGGCTAGAGCTGTCTCAATCATGAGCTCAGTTTTGGAGGACATGCTCAATCAAGCCACGTCATAGCACCACAACATAACTGGGAAGGAGCAAAGCAGCTGCAATTTCCTTTCCAGGAGCCCACACATTTGCTTGTTCATTCTAAACCATGGTTCTAGATTCAGGTAGGTAGCCGTGTTGGTCTGACACACTCAAAATATATAAAAAAAATTGTCCAGTAGCACCTTAGAGACCAAGTAAGTTTGTTCTCGGTATGAGCTTTCGTGTGCATGCACACTTCATCAGATACACTGAAACAGAAGTCACCAGACCCTTATATATAGTGCGGTGGGGCTTGGTTTGAGTTAGCATTTGGTTTGAGTTACCATGGTTTGAGTTAGCATTATGTGCAAACCAGGCCAATATCAAAATGAACAAATTGCCGCAAGCTAATACCTTTCAAGGAGGCAACAATTCTAAAAAAAACTCTCTAGAAAGTACACTTTTCACTGCCTGTCTAAAAGCAGGCAGTGATGGCAGAGGACACACCTCTCTAAGGAGATAATTGCACAGTTCAGAGTCCACAATGGAAAAGTTCCTTTCCTTTGTGGTCAGCTGCTGCATCTCTGATGGTGGAGGAAGATGAAGAAGGTCCTCGTGGTCAGTGCAATTCATCCATTTTCATCGATGTATTGTACAATTCACTCCAAGCTGGGGGGGTTATAGCCTGAAGTTGTTGCTGAGGATCACATTCTGAAACACGACTTCTTTGCTGTTGGAAGACTAGTTTACAATTCCAATTAGATGCGGGGTGTGTGTGTGGCACTCATCAAGCAAAGGATTTAATTAATATTGGAACACCACAGTGGCAATTAATATGAGCATAGGAATTTTCTTCCATAGAAGAGAAGATTAGTGCTCACATAGCTGAGAGGGGGAAACACCCACCTTATGCTGGTAACATATGCCTATATACCTGATCCATTAATGTGCATTGGCAGTGTGCAGTTTTTGAAAATTATGACATAATAACAACTCAAAGAGAGAATGAAGAAGACTTTTACCCTTGCCAGATTCAATGTCCTTCCATCTGCATTACTGCAGGGCATATTTGAAGGCAAACCATATTCAGAGCAAATATGCCTATATGGTTTGAAGGAAGTCAAAACTGCTACTCATGCCCTACTACATTGTCATTATTACAAAGCTATACTGTACGTTCTATGTTTATGACTCCAATCATGCAGCAAACCGCAAGCAGAACTGATGATTGCTACTTAAAATACTTAATAGAGGATAGGGAACCAGAGATTACCTTAAAAGTGGCTAAATTTTGTGCTGCTGCTATAAAATTAAGGGGAGAAGCTTTGAATGAATCTAAAAGCCAGTGTCTTAATATGTTTTAAATTAGTGGTTAAGGTTTTAACTTAAATATTGTAGCTGTTTTGTATCTGAATTATTTATCGTGTATCAGCTCATAAAACTTAATTTTAATCTAGTATTATCTGTATGCTCTCTGTTGTTGTATATGTTTGCACTCTGGTCAGACCGAAATACATCAGTTCATTCAAAGATCTCAAAGGGTCTCTAAGTGTATGGATACCTTTTCCTCCTGGACTCTATTTTGGTTCCATTTCTAATTTGGCCCTGATGTGAGGATAAGGTGGCAGTGCCGGGAGGCATTTATGTAAGGGATTATTCAAAAATTATATCCCCCACTTGTAGTCTGGAATGGTACAATCCACTCTTATCACCTCATTCTGATGCATATGTAGACCAGGTCTCATTCTTCAATATGAATTTTGAGGCTAAGCAACTACCTGTATCCAGGTACAGTGTTTAGTGCAGAGGGAAAGAAGGCATGAATGACTGGGCAACCCAAGTAGGAGGTAGAAGTAACAGTGTTGAAACTAGAACAACCTTTTCTGGTGGTTTTCATCGGTTTGGAAGGGCTGGATGAAAAATAGCCATTCATAAAGGTGTCCTGTTCTGTGAGAATTTGGGGCTGTTGGGGGAAGCTTGATGGTGTTCCTTTCAAAAGGCCATGACAGGAGTCTAGAATCGTGGAGAACTCCCAGGGTCTTGCTATGGTAGTTCTACTAGCAGTTGTCTCTACCAGCCCTTAGCACCAACTGAAGCCTTATCTGTGTTGTCTCTACTGTGCTGCTGAAAGCCCCACCTCCCCTGTGCCAACCATTTACAGCTTTAAAAGTAAAGCACAAGCACTAAGACCTGGGCTCAGGAGTGAATGGACTTTGTTTTTTTTTAGTCTACGTGTTTGGATCTCTATGAGCAGTGTGTACATTCCAATGAAAAGTGTTTTGTATACTGTAGTTGATTTCTTACATGTTAAAAGACAGAAATATATAAAAATGTATTTTCCCACACAGGAACGCCATCAACTGCAAAAGCAACTCATAGAATATGAAATACAACTTAACGGAGCAAACCTTCACAGTCAGTCAGGCAGACAAAGGTGAGGTCTTGATTCTTTCTAGGATTCTTGATGCTCATAAACTATCCATAACTGTAGTTGATAATTAACTTTGGATGATATAATGTTAGAATTTTTTTTAAAAAATCCCAGCATGCCATATATACTGCTACTATCTGCATTCTGTATAGAGAAGGAGCCCTGTACAATTATTCCATAGTAATTTGCAGTGGTGATTGGTATGGTGGGGTCATCACTGCCGTGTACCTGGACAGGGCTGGTGGGGAGGAGGGTGGCTGCAAAGTTGAGGTTATGTTGTAAAGAAAATCCAGTGCTCTTGCTGTGCATCACTGACCTTACTGCCATCCCCCAGTGCCATCCAGGTAAGCTGTAGTGATGTTGATGGTGGGGGGGGGGTCTTTGTGGCTCCACCCCACCTACTATTACTGGTAATATGCATGCATGGATTCTCAGTTGTAAAAAAAAAGTTCCTTTAGTCGTCTTTGTGTGGAAGACCTTAAAGTTTTCTTCAAGGCATTAAAATGTCTCAGGCATTTCACTTGTCTACAGGACCCGACTAAAGGTCATCTTCTCATTTGGAGAATGTTCATTACTGAGCAGAAGAGCATCACTAACATTAGTATTTCCTTTGAGAATTTTATGTACATTCTTTCTTCCCCAAAAATCCAGATTTTCTTTGATATCTTGTGGGCTATTTTCTGAGAACCATTTATACTTTCTTTGCCCAACAGCTTTTATGGTGACGATAACAATTAGGAGCTCAAGTCCTGGAAAACATGGAGAAAGAGAAGGGCAATTAAGAAAACTATGCAGAGGTGTGCCTTCCAGTCAGGAAAATTATTTGACAGGAAATATTTATAATGGGGAGATAAGAAGAGCTGGATCAGACACACCAAAGTCCCTAGGGATCCAGTCTGTCTGTGCATCCACATGTTGAAGGGGCCTTTCATTCAGGAGCCCCTCCAGGTGGGCACAGAGGCATTTGTTGTATGAGGAGCGCCTGGTCTGCCACGGGGAGAAAATCTGTGAGGAAATTTGAACTGAGCACAGTTTTACATAACTCTGTCAAGCAGGCCTGGACAATGTGTTGATGCATTGCTGAGGACCATGAAGATCATGATGGCAACTTCACTCGGCAGTATGTTGCAGGAGAAACCAGTGCCGCTGCTGAGTCCTTCTGCCACCGCTTTCAACATTGGGCTGCTGGTAGCAGAGGGACTCAGGAGCAGTGGTGGGTTCACCCGTGATATACTGCTGGGTGAAGCCTTCTCGCCCCCCAGCCGAGCGATACAAAGAAGCCCTGAGGTCCCTCACACTTGCACGCAAGCAGGAGGGACTTTGGGGCTCGCTCAGCTGGGGGGCAGGAGCCTTCCCACCCCCAGTTGAGCAGCACAAACAAGCTGTGTGGTCCCCAGTACCTCATGGGGTGCCTCATGAAAGCGCCTCAGCTCCTGCGGTGAGAGCCAAAGCAGTTTCACCCCGTGCATTGTGGGTTGGGACCAATGCAGCTTGTTGTTTCAACTTTGTGGTGTATCGCCAGATTGCAATGTTTGACTGGTGATACATTGCAATGTTGAAAAGCTGACATCGCCCAGCCCTACTGTCAAGACACTCTAGAATGTACTCAAAGGGCAGGCAAGACAAGATTTGAAAAGCTGCAGCGCTGGCCCAAAGCATACATGATGGTGACAGCCACGTCTGCCCCATTCATAGATAGACTGGTCTAATTTTAACATTAAAAGGGGTATGCAAGTTGCGTGGGGAAGTCCAACTCTCCCTAGCCACACTTGCCCATCTTCCGTCTCCCTATCATTGGGCCAGGCTCCAGCACCAGAAATGAGTTGTGCTGAGAGAAAAATGACTGACTGAAAGGCCTTTGGCAAAGTGGGAGGGTTCAGTTTCCCTCATTTGTATGGTCACTTTTCTGTTAAAATGGAACACACACACCTCTGAACAGGAAAGGCATGTCAACAAAATGTGGCTGACAACATATGATGTTGCTGTTACACTCAGATTATATGGGCTTCCCATAATGAGCATCTGATTGGCCACTGTGAGAAGAGAATGCTAGACAGGTCCTTTGACCTGTTCAGCTGCATACAGGCTCTTCTGATGTTCTTATGTACATCAGCTCCTCCTCCACTGCCACTCCCCACCACTACCACTTGTTCCTCTCCAGCCTCCTTTTTTCTCCCTTGCTGCCTTCAGCATGCCAGGGCTTCCCTGGGCTGTCTCCAGTTGCCTCAAGCAGCAAAAAAGATGTAGGTAGGGGGGGGGAATTTTCTGTTTTGCATCAAGCAGCAAATGTCCTGGGCTGGCCTTCTTGTACATACATAAGTTAGAACTTTCACTTGGAGTGAAGTTTGTTTTGTCCCCAAATGAAATGCTGACAGATAGGATTATTGATATGTCCCACTTAAAACCTTCCAGGGATTGTGGCCAAGTATAAAATGTACCAGGGGATGCGGGTGGCGCTGTGGGTTAAACCACAGAGCCTAGGACTTGCCGATCAGAAGGTCGGCGGTTCGAATCCCCACGACGGGGTGAGCTCCTGTTGCTCGGTCCCTGCTTCTGCCAACCTAGCAGTTCGAAAGCATGTCAAAGTGCAAGTAGATAAATAGGTACCGCTCCAGCGGGAAGGTAAATGGCGTTTCCATGCACTGCTCTGGTTTGCCAGAAGCAGCTTAGTCATGCTGGCCACATGACCCGGAAGCTGTACGCTGGCTCCCTCGGTCAATAAAGCGAGATGAGTGCCGCAACCCCAGAGTCGGTCACGACTGGACCTAATGGTCAGGGGTCTCTTTACCCTTTACCTTTACCTATAAAATGTACCAGGCATACATTTAACAAATTATTTTCTAAAATTAAATTCTAAAATCTCCACCAATTTTTCAAATTAAATTGCTTCTCAATCTTCCACCTTCTCTGATTCATACTCTAAAATAGATTACTTTGCAACTGATGAAAAGCTTCCTTTCTATAAGGTAAAGATCATCTAGATATATGTTGCGAATTGGACTAGATGACTTTTGGGACCCTTCCAACTCTATGATTCTGTACTTCCCATTTATGTGTCATTGGTTTTATCATTGACAGACCTTTTTTTCTTAAAGTATTTGATACAGTGTTGGGGAAGCAGCTGTTCTACAGATTTATTTCTTACTAATTTAAATTTACTAATTTAGTATTCACATCTTTTGTTAGGTCACATCAGTTAGAGGAGGTTACAGCTAGTCTGCGAGAACGAATCAAACATCTGGATGACATGGTTCTTTGCCAACAGAAGAAAGTCAAGCACATGGTTGAGGAAGTAAGTTGTGGCATTTTTATTTACTTTTTACTCTGAATAACCTAATATTCTAATGTGAAGATTTTCTTAAGGCAGAGATTGGAAACATATTATCAAATAGATGTAATTATCATAAATATTTTTTCAAGAACAATAATGTTAAAATGTTTTAAAATGTTAACTTAAATTTTCACTTTGACCAATCACAGTTATACCAGAAATCAGACAATACGGTCTGTGAACAACTTCTTCCTCCTCTTCTTCTTCTTCTTCTTCTTCTTCTTCTTCTTCTTCTTCTTCTTCTTCTTCCCCCCTCCTCCTCCTCTTATCATCATCATCACTATTTATTATTAAAAATATTGCTGTTTTCTTAATGTTCTTGGCCAATGTGGCAGTTGGAACATGAAATGCAAACATAATTTCTAGCTAATGAAGGTAATGTCAGTAGATGTTATTGTTTATAGCCAATGGCCATCACAATACAGTTTGAGCACAAATCACACAGCTACAAAGGTACATTTAAGGCTCACACAGCTTTATGGAGGATTGTAAAGCAACTGAAAGATATCTGCTTGTTACATTCTCCTATTTGTAAGCCCGTTATCTGCCATATTCAAAAATACTAGTATAAGCAAATCAACTTTCCCACCTCCCTTTGCTTCCTGCTGTAGAGGCTTCTTTGTGCTTGTCTTTGAAAGGGTTGGCATACTCCCTGCCACTGAAAATGTACCTCATGTTGTGCATCATGTTTTTTTCTGTGTCCATTTTCTCTGAATTGACATGGTTGTTTGTGAGAGCCAAACTGACCTCTAATGGGTCTAAGTAGGCAGCAATTTGGGATCTCTGCATTGATGGGTTTTTGGATAAGAAATGCCAGCACAAAGTAGTGTCCAACTAGTCATTACTTTTTCTCTTTTTCAAACAAGTATTCTTTGGATTAGATTTAAACCAGAGTTAATTTTATCTACTTTATGCATCCTGTCCTGTTATATAATCCTAGTGTGATTAGCAACCTCATTCAGAGATTGTGGCTAACTCTGGTTCATAATAAACATGAAATGCATTTTCATTTATTTAAAATATTGCTTAACCACCCTTCATTAAAATGTTATAGGGTGATGTACAAAAGTGCAAATAAAATTAATTCACACAACATATAAATATTGGACACTGACAAATATTACAAAATACAACAGTGGCACAATCTTATGGTCCCTGGAGGATGTGCCAAGATTCAAAATAGGATTGGATCTAGTCACCAAGGTGCGCCTTGGCCCACCCAGCATCAGTCAGTAGGGCCAAAAAGGGGGCATGTTGGGTGTTCCACAAAGTGGCTTGGACCCAAAGACTCCGAAATCCTCCTGGTCCCATGAAACCACCTGGAATACAGTGTATTTCTCCACCGTCGCTTCTGCTCTAACATATCAAGCCCAGCCACACATGAAAGTGGTTCATCCACCTTCATCCCCCACCCTCCCAGAAATGCACGTTCGAAATATTGAAAGCTGATACGGTCCAGCAGATTTTAATCTTAACTGAGCCTGGCTTTGTGCAAGCCATTATGCTTATTTGAGGGCCAAACTATACATTATGGCAGTGGTTTTCAACCTTTTTGAGTCCATGGCTCCGTTGACCAACTACATTCTTTCTGTGGCACCCCTATGGGGTTCAAGAGCGCAGTTATGCCACCCCTTGCCAGAAGAGCTGGCAGCCTCTCACCCTTTCTCGAACACCCTCCCTTGTGCAGTGGTCCCTCAGCCTCCTCTTCTCTCTCCTCTCCTTGGGAGTCCTCCAAGCAGCTGCTACTGCCATCCCTTGTCTCTGAGCTGCCCTCCCTGCCCCAAAGAGAGCTGCCTCCTCACACTGCCCCACAGGGGCCTGGGACTTGCCTGTCTATTCCCAACAGCAAGGACTGGTGGACTGGCTGGCTGGGCTCCCTTGCCCCCTTGCTTGCTTACCCTGAGGCCACTTCAGCTCCTGGCAACCAGCACCCCATGACCAGCCCCAGAGGCAGCATTTGCCCTGCGAGCTTGTAGCCAGGGCTTCAACAAACAGCTGTGGAAGCCTTGGAGGGGCACAGATGCGAGAGGGCATCAGAGGAGGGAGAGAAGGACAGAGGACAGTGTTGCCCACAGCACCCCTGACCATCATTCAAGGCACCCCAGGGTGCCAAGGCACACTGGTTGAAAACCACTGCATTATGTTAATTGTATAGATTCAGTTAATACATTGTTGTTGCGGTTTATTTATTTAAAAAATATTTATATGCTGCTGTATCATAAAAAATATATCACAGCGGTTTACAGGCCCATGGCCAATGGTATCAAAAGCCGTTGAGAGATCAAGTAGAAGTAAATAGCCTCAGAGAAGTCCCAGAGAAGCTTGAGCAACCTCGTTCTCTTCCGTGCCACGGTCCCAACAAAATAATGACTTTCTGAAGCTGCTATTTTTATTTCAGCAGAACCGTCCCCAACCTCCATGGTCATGCTATTTAAATACCAAAAGCCACACTGATAAAGCACTGATAACATTCATGCAGTTATTGTCATGCCTAGTTTTGCCCTGAGCCTTGCAGTATCTGCAAAATGAGAATGTTAATACTCTACCTCTCAGGATGGTTTGAGGAAATGAAGTCAGTTATACCACACTTTGCATAAAAAAATGGCATCAGATGCTGATGTGAGTTCTTTATGTACCAGCAACTCTACAACCTCTCCCTCTCCCTCTCTCCTTCTCTCTCATTATTTGGTAGCACAGGAGGGGTTTGCCTTTAAAATGAAAAAAATCACCAACTGCATGGAATGTGGCTACACAACCATCATGACCAGTTGCCACTGATAGCCTGAAAACCCTCCATTAATTTGTCTAATCCCCCTTTAAAACATTTAACTTTGTGGCCATTGGAGAAGTGAATTTGCTGTGTGAAGAAGAGCTTCCTTTTTTCTGCCCTGAATCTTCCAACCGTCAGCTTCACTGGATGGCTCTGAGTTAAAACTCAAGTATTATTAGAGTATTATGAGCTCAGTATTATGAGAGAGGGTAGTTTTTTTCTTTGTTCACATACTTCACACTGTGCATAATCTTATACACATCTATCATGCCCCACTTTATTCCCACTTTTTCTAAACTAATGCCCAAGTATTGTAACCCTTGACATTTGTGGTTACCCTTTTCTTCACTTTTGTGCTCCAAGTTTCATTTCCTAGCATTTTTGTTTACCTCTTAACGATATTAGGTGATTTATAATTTGCATCAGCTTTGTCTTTATGTTGAGCAGTTGTGTATAATTAATGCTTGTACAGGGCTGTAAATATGTAAGTAGAATCAAACAAATAACAAACCTGAAAAACTAGTTTATAGGAATTAATTTATATGTAAAATCTCTTAGAGTTTCTGGCAGGTGTTGCTGTCACTTACATTCTAAAATGAAGAAAGCCAAGTAGCATAGAGGAGGAAGGGAGTGAATTAAGCTGCATGCACTATGCCAGGGGTCAGCAAACTTTTTCAGCAGGGGGTCGGTCCACTGTCCCTCAGACCTTGTGGGGGGCCGGACTATATTTTGAAAAAATAAATAAAAATGAACGAATTGCCCCACAAATAACCCAGAGATGCATTTTAAATAAAAGCACACATTCTACTCATGTAAAAACACGCTGATTCCCGGACCGTCCGCAGGCCAGATTTAGAAGGCGATTGGACTGGATCCAGTCCCCGGGCCTCAGTTTGCCTACCCATGCACTATGCCAAGACTAGAAAAAATAATTGTATGTTTGAATGTGTGATATTTAACAGGGATAGAAATGTTTTAGCTCACTGTAGGAAATGTTGTTGTAACCTGCCGTTTGTGAATAATAAGGAATTAATGGATGGATGAAGAAACAGATGATGATGAAACAGATCTGACAGACCTTAAAAAGAGAAATTCAGAGTATGAATTTGGTCTGTGTTCCTTGAAGAAATGTCATTTATGGCCAATCTTCAAGAAGTTCCATTTCAGGGAATGACCAGCCCCTATAGTGAAGGTGCTGTTTATCATAGTTCCAGTTACAGATAGGTAGCCGTGTTGGTCTGCCATAGTCAAAACAAAAAAATTCCTTCCAGTAACACCTTAAAGACCAACTAAGTTAGTTCTTGGTATGAGCTTTCGTGTGCATCTGAAGAAGTGTGCATGCACACGAAAGCTCATACCAAGAACAAACTTAGTTGGTCTTTAAAGGTGCTACTGGAAGGAATTTTTCTGTTTATCATAGTTACTTTCCTACACCATTCCAGTAAGGTTTGGATATGAGAGATTACATGCAGAGATCAAATAACATTGTTACTTGCAGTGCCAGTACTAACTCTTTGTCTCTCCCTGCCAACCTCTTGGAAGGCTGGAAAGTAATGACATAATACATCTCATCTGTGTGACCTCCCTAGTTCAGGCATTACTGAAACGGTATAGGTAGGAACTACAGAGAAGTAGCAACTGCTCTGTTAAGAACAAGCTCTAAGCGTGAGAAATGCTGTTTCCCCTCTACTGTGGCCAAACATTTTATTTTCATGGTATAATTTGTGGTAATTGTTTTGTGTTGCCTGCACATACAGCATCTGGAAATTAATGGAGCCAATGCCAAGCTACACAAATATGATTCTCTTGTTCATACACTTTACATTAACTCTACAGAAATTCATATAGAAACAGCTGTCTAAAATATGAGCAATTAGTAGTTAGTTGGAAGCCCAGCTGTATTCATATTTTCCTTGGAAGGATCAGGAAGATGAGTGGAGGTTTAGAATAGGATAGCAAAGTGATAGGCTCTTTCAGGATTTGGTGTTGGTGACCCTGCCAGACCACTCCTGTACTTAGTTCCCTTGGAGAGCTCAAAAATATACTTCTAATAGAAAAAGACAGCATTGTTCTCTTGATATTTTTTGGCAAATGTGTTAATCTAGATTTACCCAAGCCCATGCAAAATAAATGGGAGTAAAACAAACCATTAAGTAAAAAGCTAATTTGACCAAGCAACAAAAGTACATTT